TTGCCCAACTGGAAGCTTTCAGGTGGCTGGGAGAGGCCTTGAGCTTCAGTTATGGTCTATTGGACACCTTGAATGGCGACGTGGTGATCAGATTTAGGATCCAAAAAGTTATGGAAAAGCCTGGAGCAAAGTAAAGTTTAGCAAAGATCAATGCAAAGGTCTTCTCTTGGGTCTAAACCACAGGATGGTGGAAAATGTGCTTGTGGGAAGCTCTTAAAGAAAGCACCATATAACAAAGAGACATCATTTCACAGGTCAGAGTACACTGAAGGCATTAGGTGCCATTCTGGATAAACTGTGAAGAAGGAGGAAGTTAACTAAACTGAAGGGTATTGAAAGCAGAGTGGCCAGGAGGATGGAGGAGCTCAAAGCCACACCACACATGTATTGTTTTAACAGAACAAAGCTCCAGGCATGGAGAAGAGAAGACTGGACAAGTCAAGTATTATCAGCACTTACAGTGCTGTCGTATAGAAAAGGGATTAAGTTTTTCTCTGTGGTAGAGGGGGAATTGAACATGTGGGTAGATGGTATAGTGAGACATTTCAGCTTGTAAGTAATGAATAGCTTTAAACATCAGAGCTGTCAATGAACAGGTAGAGACTGGATGATTACGTGGAAGGTGTTTCTAGTATCAGTGCCTATCTTCAAACACTGAGATTCTGTCTTCATAGATCCCTCTCTTGCTCTTTAAATATTTGACATTTTATCATCACCAGCCTCATTTTTATATGGGGTGCCAATATTGGAAATCATTCTTTTTATGTGATTAAGATGATTCTGAAGATCTGCAGCAGAGTTCAACCAAAGTGTACTTTGCACATTGATTTAATAGGTAAGAGCTGGAAGTTCACAAATGCCACATGCAAATTTTCTCTTAATGAGCTCTAAATATGGATTTGGAGCGAATTGTTCTGGCACTATTTCAGTGGGGATGAAGCACTGACCAAACATATTTCAAAGTGAGGAAGAGGATGTATTAGCATCATATCCCGGAAAATGAGCAAGAGCATGCAAGGAATTTGGAAGAGGAGGACACTCCATCTCAAGCCTCAAGGAAGAAAGAGACTGTTGGCTGAATCCTTATGTGGAAATAATAGAACTGTGAAAATAATTAGTGTTAAATCAAGTATAGCACCGAATTTCCAGTGAGGGTCATTTTTTCAAATAAACTTTTACTGTTTCAGTATAATGTACAGACAGAAAAGTGCACCAATTATAGTAGTACAACCACAGAATTACCGGGAGCAACCACCCAGACCAGGAGATAGCACAGAAGTCCCCCTTCTTTCAGTTACTCCTCTCATTTATCCCAGAGGTAACAACTACCTGATTTATAATATCATATCCGTTTTGCCAGTATTTAAATTTTGTATGAACATAATCACACAGCGACTTCTCTTGTGTCTGGCTTCTTTTTACTAATACATTGTTTGCAAAACTCATCTATGGTTTTTCATGTAGCAGTACTTTATTCATGTTCATGGTAAGAGCAATTCTATACATCCCACTTTTTTCTGATAATACGTTTTATTTTTGATTGACATCTGGAAGATTTTAGACTTGGGCTGTTATACCTACTGCTGTCTCAAACATTCTTGTAACTTTTTTGGAACACATACATACGCATTATTTGTTGGGTGTGTATCTAGAAATGCAATCACCAGTTCATGAGATATGTGTATACTCAGCTTTAGAAGTAAAGCTTTAGTTGTGCCATGTTTCCACTCCTTCTAGTAGTATATGAATATTCTATTCACTCCAAACCCTCTGCAACACTTGGTGGTGTGTTTATTGACATATATATACTAATATGTATAAAATAGACAACTAGCAAGAACCTGCTGTATAAAAAAAATTTTTAAAAATTTCAGCTATCTGGTGTGTAGTGATATTCCATTGCAGTTTTTATTTGCATTTCCCAAATCACTAATAAGAGTGACCAACATTTTGTGGGTTTATTGGGAAATTTTTTGCAAATTGTCTGTTAATATATTTTGTGTATACTAACTTTATTGTATTATCTGTCTTTTTCTTATTGATATATATTTGATATGAGTCCTTTGTCAGTTATATGAACTACAAAAATCTGGAATTTTTATGTATAAAATCAGGGCTCTTGCAAATAAAGATAGTTTCATTTCTACTTTTCCAATACTTATACCTTCTATTGATTGTCTTGCCTCAACACACTGGGTTAAGATAGATCCTAGATTAGAATGCAATGTTGAATAGTATTCTAATAGTCAGAAGTCATCCTTTACGTATACCTGATATCAAAAGAAAAGCTTTCAATATTTTCCATTGAAGCATGATGTTTGCTATAAAATGTTGTAAACATCCTTCTATTCTTAGTTTGTAGGTTTTCTTTTCTAAAATCACAGATAGATGCTGAATTTTATTGAGTGATCTTTCTGCCTCTGTTTGAGATGATTATGATTCTTCTCCTCTATTCTGTTGATGTGGTGAATTGCATTCATCGATTTTCACATGTTACACCAGCTTGCCCTCCTGGAATAATTGTATTATCGTTTTTATATATCACTGGATTTGCTTTGCTATCATTTTGTAAGAGTTTTGTATCTATATAAATAAGAGAGTGGGCTCCCTTAGGTCCTTTAATGTAATGTTCTTACCAGTATTTGCTACCAAAGTTACAATGACCTCAAAATATGACTTGGGAAATTTTTCCTCTTTCTCTGTCTCTGGAATAGTATATGTAAGATTGATTTTTATTTCTAAATGTTTGGAGGAATTCACTAGTAAAACTGCCAGGCTTGGAAATTTGTTTTCAAAGGATGTTAGTTACAGATCCAATTTCTTTACTACATATTAAACTATTTGGATTTTATATTTCTTCTTGTGGTATTTTGGCAGTTTTGGAAAATTATGGCTTTTAAAACCATCTAATTGTTTCATTGAAATTATTACTCTAAAGCTGTTATGATATCCTCTTGTTTTCATTTTCTTAACTGTGGGATCTGTACTGAAATCCCTCCTTTGAATAAAATCATTCTTAATATTCGTGTTTTGTGCCCTCTTTCTTTTTTTCTTGACCTGTCTTTCAGAGATTTATCAAATTTTAAAACCAACTTTTTTTAAAAAAACAACTTTTATATTGATTTTCTCCAGTGCATGTTTGTTTAATATTTTATTGACTTTTGCTTTTATTTTTATTATTTGTTTCTATTTGTTCTCCCTAGGTTTATTTTTCTTTTAACTTATGGACATGGATGCTTGGAGAATTTATTTTCAGCTTCACTCCTAATATAAGCATTTAAGTATGGTGTTAATTGTGTTCTGAAAGATTTGACAAGTTGAAGTTTCATTATCATTCAAAGAAAAAGTTTCCTAATTTTCATTTGTATTCATTTTTTTTAGCCTTTGAATTATTTAAAAGTACTTATATCAAGAACTTTTCTAACATAAGAAAGTTTTAATATTATCTTTTTTGTTATTGATTTCTAGCCTAACTACTATTGTCAGAAAATATACTGTGTATAATTTTAGTTTTTAGATCTCTGTTGAGATTTCCTTTATACCCATCACTTAGTTAACTGGCTTTGACATTTGATGTGAATTTTGCTCTTGCTGGATATAGGGTATGTATATTAGGTCAAATTTATTGATGGCATTGTTAAAAATCTACTATATCCATATGGAATTTTTATCTGCTTGGTCTATCAGTTACTAAGAGACATCTGTTAAAAATCTTCCTATGATAATGGATTTGTCCATTTTCCTTTTAATTGTGTCATCATTTTGCTTTATATATTTTGAAACTACATTATTAAGTGCAAGAAATTTAGAATTGTAATATTTTAGAAAGATTGTGGCATTTATCATAATGAAATTCCCATTGTTTATTGCCAATAATGCTACCCTTTTCTGCTTGATTTCTCTGCTTCTCAGTGGCCAGTTATAAACAGGAGCACCTTGAGTAAAAAAGAGTCAAAAATCAGGTTCACTTTTTGTACTTCTCTTCTCCCGGGGATTTGGTTTCTTCAGGTTCTCACTGCCTGGCCAGCTTTCTAAAGCCAATAGAATTTATATGCTATCCAATTTTTTTAGTTCTTCTCAGAGGGTGGGTTTGTCTATAACAGTCTTCTCTACCATTACTAAGAATTGAAATTCCTCCAGCATGAGTTATTTTGAAGCATATAACATTTTTATTCCTATAACACAAATGGTGCACATCTGCCGAAATTGAAGACTTTCCAGATGTAGAATACTTCCCTTGCAACTGAAAAAACAAAATCAGGTGCATTTATAACATTATGTTTGAAATGAGAAATGTGAACAATGAGTAACAAGAGCTGCAAAATGTTTGCCTAGAATATTAGTATTCCAGCATTGCAAAGGAGACCACAAATCATCTGAAGTTACCAAAATCATAATTCTAATTTGGGCCTTTAAAGTAGAGAGAACTCAGGGACGGTACAAGTTTGATGCTCCCGTAATTTTTTTTAAATAAAGAAATGTCAAATTAGAGTTTAAAAATTCGAGTGGTGTTTAAAATGTTGATATTTAATAAATTAGCAATCTAAAGTCACAGATTTCTATATGTTATTAGGTGATTTACAAGATAATTACAATATTGATAAAATGTTAATTTATAGTGTTGCATAAAATGGCAGGCAAGTTAGAGCAGTTTGAGGAACTTAGTTTTCTTTCAACATTTGCAGTATATCTTTATCACTGTGTGCAGAACTTCTTTTGAAGATAATGTTCATGGTCTAAAAAACGAGGCTGTGGACTAACATACTCCCCTCCTCTGGCACTATAATAGACTCTGGTTCAAATATCCTCTTTCTTAACTCTAATTAAATGAGCTGATGTTAGTGTCATGTTTTAGTCAATATTATATATCAATGACAGAGCTAATCACCAAAATACATTATAAGAGTAGGAGTCCTAGGTCCCCAATGGGGTATAGAACAACTCCGTAAATTTTCTGAAAGGAATATATATATATATATATATATATATATATTCTTCCACCCTAAACACAGCACACAGTTCAGCACACATTTTTATAATATCACTGCCTTTTCCCCCCATTCTCTACAAAATTCAGTTTGAATAATTTTTTTTAAAATGGGTTCTCATAGTAGTCCTAAAACCTTAAAAAAGAATTTCTTGACAGTTGGCCTTCCTATAATTTTGCAACTTGGACTGTTCATCTTTAAGAGCTTGGTTTTTCAGTGTTAGTGTGTTTGAAATGGTCTTGAGGTTTTGTGGTTGCTGTTGATTCTTTGCAGAACTTAACTTAAAACACTAGCTTCCTTTTGTTTGGTGAACCGGCCAGGCCCTGTGAGTGCATGCAGACCGTGGAAGTGCCCAAGCAGCCTTGTCATTAAAAAAGAATCAGATTTGGAATTCAGACAGATGGCCTAACTCTGCACATTTCCCTGAGAAATCTGGCTTTTTCAGGTAAGTGCAAAAGACTTGGGCTGGGGGGCATATGAATAGAGGTTATGCATAAAGAGAGCATGCCAGACTTACCAACGTAGTCCTAGTTCAGAATCTGCAGACAGTCTTACTGTGAAAAACAAGCTTATGGGACGAAGTGAGAGAGTGGCATGGACATATATACACTACCAAACGTAAAATAGATAGCTGGGGGAAGCAGCCACATAGCACAGGGAGATCGGCTCTGTGCTTTGTGTCCAACTAGAGGGGTGGGATAGGGAGGGTGGGAGGGAGGCTCAAGACGGAGGGGATATGGGGATATATGTATACATATAGCCGACTCACTTTGTTATACAGCAGAAACTAACACACCATTGTAAAGCAATTATACTCCCATAAAGATGTTAAAAAATATATTGAAAAAAACCCCAAGCTTATCTACTCTGACCACAACTCCTCCTTTATAGAAACAATTGTTTTGTTCTTCCTGTGTAGTACACACTACTCTGAGTTTGACACCTAATTTTTATTAGTGGTTAAATATGGACAAAAATGTTTTCAAAATCGATCAGAAAATTAAAAAAAGGACTGTGGCTAAAAACCTCATAGAAGTCTTTAGGGGATCTGGTATTGCTTTCACATATTATTCATATGTTTATCTTTTTTTTTTTTTTGCGGTACGTGGGCCTCTCACTGTTGTGGCCTCTCTTGTTGCGGAGCACAGGCTCCGGACGCGCAGGCTCAGCGGCCATGGCTCACGGGCCCAGCTGCTCCGTGGCATGTGGGATCCTCCCGGACCGGGACACTAACCTGTGTCCCCTGCATCGGCAGGCAGACTCTCAACCACTGCGCCACCAGGGAAGCCCCATATGTTTATCTTTTAAGTAGTTTTATTATTTTTTATTATGAAACTCTTTAAACTCTATTATTGCTAATATTGTCATATATAGTTTGAAACCATTTTGGCAGCCCTAATCGATAGAAGAAAACAATCAATAGCAATCAGGTACTTTGAAATTTCTAAAAGAATATATTCAAGATAGCATGTGTGATTTTGTGATAATGGTTATCATAATTCTTTGCATTCCATTTTTACAGTATGACATGACAGGAGGAATCTGAAAATAGCTTTAAAAATCACTTAATTAGAAGTTAACAACAGCATCTGTTCAAATATTTTCCTTAAGTAAGTTCCTTCCATACCATTATTTCCTTTCACAAGAAGTATTGCATTTCAAACATGTGGAATGGAAAATAATGCAAAGTTTAAAAAAGTAGTCAGTAATGCGCAGCCTGAGTTTCACAGCTTAGTCTTGCTTCCTTAACAAATTTGTAATATGATTTTGGATAGGTCATTTAGTTCTCTGGATTTCAACTTCCTGCAAAAATGTCCAATTATTTATCTAAGAAATTGTTTATCAAGTACTCCAGATTTACAACTCCTTGTTTTCTTTTTTATTGGGTTTAAATCAATCAGTCAACAGTTTAATTGATCAATAGGAGTAATGAGAGACCAATGGATGAGAAATTAGGAGGTATGAATTCTAGTCCTCTGTTTTCTAGTAATTGACCGAGTGATTTAGAAGATTTTCTGACCATTCTAGGGCAAGGATTGGCAAACTTTTTCTATAAGGCCTAGATGGTGAATAGTTTAGGTTCTGCAAGCCAAAAGGCAAAGTTGAAGATAATATACAGGCTCTTACATAACTGTTTAAAATGTAACTATTTGAAAATGTAAACGCCATTCTTAGCTCAGGCTGTACAAGAAGAAGAAATGAAGAAGGCTGGATTTGGCCTCAGGGCCATAATTTTCCAATCCCGGTTCTTGGCAATGATTTTTAACAGTTATAAAATGGAAGATATAGACTAGATTATGTGACCCCAAAGGAGTTTATGGATGATACTTAAGGTAATCCACCAATCCCCTAACATTGTATACAAAAATCTAAGTGTTTGTAAATATGTGCTTTTTTTAATGGGAAAAAAGTTCCAAAGATTTCATTAGATTTTCAAAGTGCTCTAAAACCCAGTTAAGATTAAGGACCACAGGACTAGCTGATTCCTAAAAATTCCAAATCTAAAATTCAAGGGAATGCTTATTGGGTGTCTACCATGTCTAAGCCTCTGTGCTGGCACCATAAGAGATGTTAGCATATTATGACTAAAATAACACATCAAAAATATTTTAAAGAATATTTTAATATGCACACATCAGTGATATCCTTCCAAGTAATAACCCTGAGAAAAATTCTGTAATTGGCCAAACATTTCTGAAAATATTGCTTTGCAAAATGTCTTCAAATCTATTATGAGTTATGTAAAAATATTCATCAAATATTTTCATTGTCCTATCTTGTTTTTGATGACAATGGCATTATTCATGAAAATCATAATCAAACTTAATCTAAACAGAGTCTCTTTCCTAAAAATATGATTTCCTTAAAGGCAGGAACTATGCTTTTTTTTAATCTTTGTATTCTAGAATGGTGTTTGTCACTGAGTACTCAACATCTCTGGAATGAATATATGAATGAATGAAAAGATAAAGACACTGTCATTAAGATTATGTACAATAAATACTAAAGGCTTTGAACCCCAAATGCTCTAAAAACAGTAGTTACTAGGTCCAAAGATTGCTTTTCTTTTCAACTTTGGACGTAACTGGGATTTCAAAATACTTGGTCAACTAAAGATTATACTTCCTGGAGATTAAGCCATTTTTTAAAAAGAGCGAAGTCAAAAAAAAAAAAAAGCGAAGTCTGTTGAATTTAATTCACATGTTACAGATTTTCCAATAACTTAGCCTCTGGGATCGAGGGACTGGAGAGTGAAGTTTTGTTAATGAATAGCAGCATTCTCAGCATCAGGTAGAAGTTGTACCAGCTGAGCATTACACATAAATGGAAGGTTTTCCTGGGCAATCCAAAAGTCAGATCTAATAGGGTTTAGGATATCACTCTGCTCCCTGATAAAGAAGTTCAGCCTGACCTCCAGTGCATGCTTAATTGACGATGCCAAAATCTGAGCACTGTTGGCTGGGGAGTCCCCACAGCTACAGGGGGTGGGAAATGACTTGAGATCCAAACATACCTCTCTTCTCTCTCTAGGAATAATTTCATTTTCTGAAAGAGAAATTCAATCTACAATAGCTGGTTGTAAACTTCCCTAAAATTCTTTAGGGAAGTTTAAATCCTAAGATTGAAAAAAATTTAAGAAACGTTTAAAGAAAAGACTACAGAGCTTTGTATAATCTGGTGCTATGCCTGAACATCCTTATTCTAAAGGGTGCGTCCTACTTCCTCCCCTCCCTTCACTCTCCCTCTGCCTCAGAAACTGTGAGGGAAATAGCAACTTGCTGTTCACTTTGGGGTATAATTATAGAGTGTGCCTGTGCAGTATCTGTGCATTAAGTGATATCATTTGTTCAATTATCAATATTTGGAGGTTTTGCATATCACTGGATCTCCTTAGAGATTAAGACTAGTCAGACAGAGTCCCAAAACCAGAAGCTTCATACATGGAATCTCAAATATATAGCTCATTTCTGTTCTTGGTCCAAGGTCTCGCTTAAGTGATGATGAGGAGCTCAGTCCCCTCCCGAAGATTTCTGGAGACCTGGCTCACACGTTCTACAAATCCACGACAGGGAGTGCCCCTCAGTCTAACTGCTGCCCTCAGGTCTATCTGAATATTGTCTCTCCACCTCTCTGGTCCACTTTATTCCAACAGGTGGACAAGGTCCCTTCGGTTTCCTCTCAAACACAACTAACTTGAACCTGTGACATGCCTTTTTGGGGCAAACTCTTTCTTAGAGGACCAGATAATCAATATTTTAGGTTTTGAGGGCCATACAATATCTGTTGCAACTACTTAGTTCTCCAGTTGTAGTATGAAAACAGCCAGAGATGACACATAAATAAATAGGCATTGCTGTGATCAGATAAAAACTTTACAAAAACATGTGGCTGGGCCATGGGCTATAGTTTTCTGGCCCACGAATTATATGAAGGCTTGATAACAAGCCTAAGAAATTACAATGTTTTAGACAGAAATGAAAAACTCAAAGTTAGAGATCACCTGCTAGAGGCATCAGCACTTCTTCCCAGCAGCCATTCTCATTAGCCCTGGTGTGAGGCCATGCTGCTGGGGCCTACTTATCATCCTGGGCAGAGGTCTTCTCCCCTCCTTATCTTTACATCCACAAATTCAAGTCTCTTCCTTCCTACATTAATCCCCAGTTAGAGGGTGTCAAAAATAAGTTCATATCATAATTATCTCTGAAGAGCAAGACCCATTGAACAGAACTGTGGCCCACCTAGGTCTGAAGCATCTTCAGTACTCAGAGTGTCACTTACCTTCCATTTGTACAGCTAAAGGCTCACCAGAATTATGCTTTCTTGCCTAAATGGAGAGTCCACCCTAAAAAACTCTTTTCCTGTTTCTTCTTAAAATTTTGGTAAAGTATACATAACAGAAAAATTACCATTTTAACCATTTTTACGTGTACAGTTCATTGGCATTGAGTACATTCACATTATTGTGCAACCATCGCCACTATCCATCTCCAGAACTTTTTCATCATCCTGAACTGAAACTCTGTACCTCTTAAACAATAACTCCCCATTCCCCCTACCCCAGCCTCTGGTAACAACCATTTTACTTTATGTCTCTTTGAGTTTGACTATTTTAAGTTATTCACATAAATGGAACCATAATATCTGTTCTCTTGTGTAAAAAGCAAATTCTTGCTTCTATACTTAGAATCACATGAAAAAATAAACTGCCTATCTATTCTGGCTTCCAGCTATCTCTGGTCTAGAAATATTGGGGACTAGTCTGAGAACCCCTGACTATATACTTTTCATAAATTATATCCCACTACTCTCCAGTCTGTTTCCTCTGCATCAACTATTAGCACATCTCCTCTTTCCTCAAATGCACATCACACATTATTTTCTTTGGAATATTGTGATCCACACTTTTAATGCCACCAAATTACAATGGTTTTAGGAGCTCTGTGA